ACTGTGATTCAATGAAAGTACACTGCTGGTATGACATAAGGTACTTAGAAAGAAGTATATCTGGGCTACAAAAATCAAGTTAAGAGCAAGATGGCAGCAAAGAAGTCGAGAAACTGCTGCTTTTTAGAGGTAATTTGAGACTGGATAGCCACTTGTCTGAATGATACAGGGCAGGGGTCCCCAACCCCTGGTCTGTGGACTGGCCCTGGGCCGCAGCATGTCAGAAACCGAGCCGCACAAACAAGCGAAGACCCATCCACAGGATGCAGGCAGCACGCAAAACCACGCCCCCTCTCTCCACAGACCCGAACCCTGGTGCCCAAAAGGTTGGGGGTTGCTGATGTAGGGGGTTGGACTAGAAGACCTCCAAGGTCCCTTCCAATTCTGTTACTCTCTGTTCTGTGTTCATCAGAGGCTCAAAAAAGTTTCCCCAAAGAGATTCTCCATTTTTGAAGCCTTCCTAAAGCTGCTCCCTCCCCAAAGACTTGTAACGTCGTCTTCCTGTCCTATCCCTTTAATATCAATTCAGCATGCAACTCTGCAAGCCTAAAGGAAAGCCTTGACTGGGAAATCAAAAAAGGAAGCCAAGGCATGCTTTGTCTGCTCCCTTGACAAGCGTGGATATACTGTCAACAGGCAAGTATGCCAGACATCCCAGACAAAAACAGAAGCACGGTGCGCTTTCCCACAAGCTGCTGGGCGCTTCCAAACAGGTCCGATTTCGCCCCGTGGAACTTTCCAGTTACAAGAGCGGCTGTCAAGTCAGCACGTTGGAGAGAGAAAAGTCAAGGCGATGGGCTCCTAGGTACGCTAACCTGGCCTTACCTGCCAGTGGCAGCTGCAGAAAGGGAGAGTGGTGGAAGCGAGGAGGAGAGGAAGAGAAAGTGAAGTCTCACACCCCCCCCCCAAAAAAAAAGTGAGGCGGAAGGGCAGAGCTGGCACTTCAGCCTGCCTGAAGGCACCCAGATCTGAACTAGAGGGAGAGCCCGACGAACACGCAACGGCGGCAGATGCAGACATCTGCAGGGTGGTCGTCTGGATTGGGGCAACGCCAAGCCTGCCTGGCCCGAAGCAGCGAGGTTGGGACAGCACCGGAGAGGGGAAGCCTCGCTTGCAACTTTTGGCACCGGGCAAGCCAGCCTCCGGGTCCCGCCAGCCTCGCCCAGATGCGCGGGAGGCCAGTGGGATGGTGGCGCGCTGGAGACCGGCGAATCTGGAGGGTCCCCGCCTCCGCCCCCCTCTCATTTCCTCCCCCCTTCCTCCAAGTCTTGGGAACTGCGCTGGGCTCCTCCTCCCGTCCTTAGAGACGCCTCCAACGACCGCAATCCTGAATACTGTACTGGTTACCGACCGCGCCACGAGGCTTCCAGCCTGCGCGCACTTACCGGGGCCTCGCTCCCCACGCGCCCTCCATCTGGGCCGGCTTGCGGGGACCCTCGGCGCGCCTTCGCCCTCTGGGGGCTTGGAAAGGGACCAAAACCGCTGGCGCTGCCTGCGCGCTGGGGAAACGGAGCCAAACCCGGAGTAGGAGGAGGAGAGGAGGAGGAGGAGTAGGAGGAGGAGGAGAAGGAAGGAGGCGCGCTCGGCTTCCCTGCTTAAGCAGCCCCGCCACTTCCTCGATTGCCCGGCCGGGGGAGGGGTCTTCCGGCTCGGCAAGGCGGGTCTGAGTGGCCGCCTCCGGCTTCTAGGGCGGCGCAAGGCGAGGACGGGCGGTGCAACCGTGGAAGTTCCGCGGCAGGCGAGCCCGGGCAGCAGCGCACCCAGCTGGGTCTGGAGAGGAGCCTGAGCGCCGGGAAGGGCGGCGAGGGTTTCTGCTCAGCGCGCGCGCCAGCCTGGGTTTCCACCAAGCGTCCCCTCCTTTTGTCCATCCCATCCACTGGTTTGATCCCCAGGCATCACTGAACGACTTTTCCTGGTTGAGCAGGGGGTTGGACTAGAAGACCTCCAAGGTCCCTTCCAACTCTGCTCTTCTGGGATTTCTTAGCATCCGCGCGCTCTGCCTGCCTTCGTGTTTGTTTCTTGATTTTGCGAAGGAATCCTTTGCGCTGGATTTATTTCTCCACCACCCCCACCACCCCCGGACAGAGAGGACTGCTGGTTTGAAAGAGGGGTCAAAGAGGCCATCAATGTGAAAACTGAACAGCCCTGTCTCAGTAGAGGGGGAGGGATAGGACATCATCTATCTGTGTCTACAACACAGTCCTTTCCAAGTAGGCTCCACACCGATTTGCACCACTCAGATGACCCTGAGGACACAGATAAACCTCCAGGTAGCATTAAAAGAATGCAAATGAGCAGCTGTCTGCAAGGAGTATAAATCTCTCCATTCCCCCCCATCCAGTCAGAGCTGAAGAAGCTTCTTGGATGAGAAGCGAAACGTCTTCAAAGAAAAAACAAGAAAGTCCAGTTACTTCATGAAAGAAACATATTTGGATTGCCTTCTGCTGATTTGGAGAATAGGTTGACTTCTTCTTTGGGACAGCCCCATAGATATTGGAACACTGCTATCATGTCACCCTAGTCTTTCTTTTCATTAAACTAGACATATATCCAATTCCTGCAACCGTTCTTCATGTGTTTTAGCCTCCAGTCCCCTAATCATCTTTGTTACTCTTCTCTGCATTCTTTCCAGAGTTTCAACACCTTTTTAAATATTGTGTTGACAAAAACTGGATGTGGTTTTCCAAGTGTGGTCTTACCAAGGCTTTATAAAGCAGTACTAATACTTCATGTGATCTTGACTCTATCTTTCTATTAATGCAGCCTCTGTTAATCCAGAGGCCATTAAACCCTTCTAATTAAGAATAAATAAATGGGTTATTTATTGCATGATTTTCTGTGATGTAAGTAATCCAAAGCCTAACATAGCTTCAAAAAGTCCATATATTTGGAGGTTAAACGAGTTAAAGAAGCGTTAGTGAAGGTTGTAAGCAACTTTTCAAAACTGCGATAGTTTTGCCGCTCTGCAAACAGATCAATTTGTAAACGTAACTTAAAAGAAAACGTTGGCTGTCAGTGGATTTGCAAGACCTCAAGTCAGGCCATTCTAGGAGAAAAATAAATTTAATTCCTGGCAAGGGAAGCGTAAATACATTGTGTCCACGTAAACCCATTAAAAACCTTTCAGTCAACGTGAATCAATCTTTCTCTTATTTGTAATGCATTGTTTACAATCAAAGCAAGAGAAGTGAGAATTGTGGAGAACGTTACAACTAAATGCAGGAGTTCTTATGAGCAGCGAGCAAATCAAAAAGGCACCACTGCAATTATTTCTTCCAGGGTTAAGTCAGTTCCCATGTTGCTGCTCTTGGCAGCTAACAGATGCCGGCTGCTGTGGATGATTGCCCCAGGAAAATGTAGCCTAGAGCTCTGGAAATCTCCTTGAGTGATCATCAACTTAGCAATTGCGCAAAAACTGAAATGTCAAGTTCTGGTTCTTAAGACATACAAGTGATCGAGTTGAATGCCCCCCTGCCCCACACCTTCTAAATTCATGGCAAAGCTTCTAAAGTCTCCGTATCACTGACCTTTTCTTTTTCAATTGAGAATAGAGCTGGAAGGGACCTTGGGGGTCTTCTAGTCCAAGCCTCCTCCTCAAGCAGGAGACCCTAGACCAGGGGTAGGCAACCTTGGCTCTTTTATGAAGCAATGGATGGAAACTAACCAAGGAGAGAAGCAACCTAGAACTAAGGAGAAACTTCCTGACAGTCAGAACAATTAACCAATGGAACTACCTGCCTCCAGAAGCTGTGAATGCTCCAACACTGGAGGTTTTTAAGAAGAGGCTGGACAGCCAGTTGTCCGAAATGGTGTAGGGTTTCCTGCCTGGGCAGGGGGTTGGACTCGATGACCTCCAAGGTCCCTTCCAACTTTATTATTGTTATTATTACTTCCAGAATTCCTGAGCCAGCATGGCTCAGCTTGGAAACCTCTCCCTTTCCCCTCAGCATGGCTGGCTCAGGAATTCTGGGAGTTGAAGTCCAAGAGTCATAAAAGAGCCAAGGTTGCCTACCCCTGTCCTATACCATTTTGGACAAGTGGCTGTCCAGTTTCTTCTTGAAAACCTCCAGGGATGAAGCATCCTTCCATCCTTCCTTCCTTCCTTCCTTCCTCCCCTCCCCTCTTTTATATGGCCCTCCACAAGCGCATTGAGAGTCTTACAAGACTGCACATTCAGACCTGCAGAATGATATCAATAGACCAGATTAGGAAACTAAAGTTATGAAAGCTTTCACTACTTTTTCCTGTAAAGATTCAGTAACAGAATGTGTCTCTCCCTTCCCTGCCATTATTCTCAAGAGAACTTGGCAGGGTCAAGACTTTTTATTTTTTTTTCTTTTCCTTTTCCTTTTCCTTTTCGAGTTTGCATTGTTTTTTTTTAGTATTGTTTTAAAAAAATACATATATATTTTTTAAAAAGTTCCATTTTGCAGTATCTCCCCTTAAGTACAAGCAGGCTGGAGCATAAAAATTATATTTTATTAACTGTAGTGCTACTATTACAAGAGATAGCTTTTAAAATAGGCAAATTATTTCCATGTACAATCAGCAATAAAAAATTCATTAGATTAATTGCATTCTAATTTATAAATATATATATTTATATTTATATTTAAACATTTACTGATAATATTTCATATCAAAAGACAGCACTAACATGCAATGAAATAATATAAAGACTCTACAGGGCTGTACTTTACAATTAGTGCCTAACGTTTTAATTTCCAAAGTGTAAAAAAACAAAAAGAAAGAAAGAAAAATTCAGTGTGTACAAAACCATAATAAAATACGGTTAACCACCAATAATTACAAGACATTGAAAAAGCGTGAAATCACAACAAAGAATATATTTATTTCAAAAAGGAGTCTATAAAAAAATAAACTAATGATTCCAGATTGCACTGTAGACAGTGGTCATTAAATGCACAAGAGAGAGGCAATCACTTGTATCTGTCTTATATTGCTTTTTTTTTTCACCATCCAGAAAGGGGAGGGGGGGGATGTCTGTGCAAGTACTTGGGAAACATTAATGGACAAGAGACTCGCAAAAGCATCTGGGATCCATCCTTTTTTGTATTCGTGAAACATTGTGAAAACACGTTAGTATTTGCCGATAGTCAAATATTTGCCAGAAACCCCCAGAGACTAAATTGCAAAAATACAACTCTACGTAATGTGGAGAAGGACTAAGGGGAGGGGAGAAGTTGCAAGTAGAAACAGTCTGTCATCTAGCCTTCAACACCTGGTGAACGTATTTTGTGGGACATTTGGGAAACTGTCCTAACTGAAGAAATATAAAAATGTTGAATAGCCTCAGGACTCCACCTGGAAATCCGTTCCCTAACCTGGGGTATCTCTTTGGGTTGAGTGGAGTTTGGTACTTGAAAAATACTTCCATGCTGGCCTTTCGTTCTTCGTCTTTCTCCGATTCTTCCAGATGTTTTGGACTTCAGTTCCCAGAGTTCCTAGCACCACGGCCAAAGACTAGGATTTATAGGAAATCAAGTCCTAACCCATCTGAAAGATACCAGACTGGAGGAAAGATCTTGCAGCTCATTGGGCCAAATCTGGTCTTGAACACCAGTTAATTCATTTTGACTTGGAAGGAGCAGCTGCACAAAACCCTCTAAAAAAAACAAACCCAAACGTTTGGATTCTTTTTTAAAGGAAGGAAAATAGGCATTTTCCCCCCCTTTCCAGTTCTAAAATGTGCCCCTCAATCCGTGTTATATGTCAACATTCAGAGTGTCAAGAGTTTTTCAATCTCCATGCCTCCGTAGCTCAGCAAGTCTTCTGGGACAGTTTGATGGTGACCGTTTTCACTTCGGTGTATTCTGCAAGAGCGTATTCTCCTCTGTAGAAGAACAAAATTTCTGAGTTTAAGTTACAAGTACTTTAGCATGCCTGGAAGTAACTCCATATTTACTTCCCTCCGCACCCCAGTTTTACGTACTAAGGTGAAATGTCCCTCATCATTTCAAGAGGGTAATCTTTCCAGAAGTGACATGAAAAGGCAGATGGGCTTTGGATGGCCATCCTTCAGAACCAAAGATGAAAAGAAACTATCTCGGTGTTAAATTTCAACTCCTTTTGTTTTCAGAACATCTGAGTCAAATAATGGTTGTGTTCTTAAAAATCTATTCACATATCTGACTTTTTGGCCCAGAACAGAATCACAAAGGTCCATTCTCTGACATTTGAGATGCATAAGGTACATGAAGGCTTACACACTCACGTACACTTTCAGCAGTATTCCGAAGAACAATTCTTGAATATTCTAATTATATTTAAATTTGTAGGGGTTAGAAAATCATTTTAAAATTCTTGGCTTGTGCATCCAGCTCCAAATATGATTATCTTTAAAATTCCTGCATGCCTCGGAACCCAACTATGTGAACATGTGCCTCACTAAATCAACTTCCTTCCCCTTGGTTTTCCCCTGATGTTCCCCAGATGTGTAGATGTCAACTCCCAGAATTCTTGGCAATGGTTATGCCCATAGGAGAATTCAAGAACCCAGTTCACAAATCCAGTTTGGGGGCAATTGCTTTAACAACTTGTTCTCCAAGTATTGTTGCCACCTTAGATGGTGACAATAAAGGGACTTTTCTCTTTGCCAGTGCCCATTTGCAGAACAGCGAGTCAAAACCTTATTTGTCTGGATATTTTAAACTGGTTTATTATTGTGGATAATATGATCTGTTTATTTTCTGTCTTTATTGCTGTAAATAATATCATGAGAGAGAGAGAGAGAGAGAGAGAGAGAGAGAGAGAGAGAGAGAGAGAGAGAGAGAGAGAGAGAGAGAGAGAGAGAGAGAGAGAGAGAGAGAGAGAGAGAGAGAGAGAGAGAGAGAGAGAGAGAGAGACTTTAAATCAACCTTGACTCTTGGTGACTGTCTGGAGAGCCCGTCTCTAGTCTGGCTTCAAACTATATATTTAGGAATTATTTTTGTGTAGGTCATCTTGGTAAAATGAAAGGTGGACTACAGATAAAAATGCCACCCTAAGGATCATAGGCTTACGGCCTAAGTAGAGGTTTAATGAGAAATAATTTGTATTCTTTGGGAAGATATGCAAATGCACGGTTCATCCAGGCTGCAGGGTCAAGAGGCACATGGGACTAAGGAACTCCAGGCCAAAAACAAAAAAAAAACCCACCCTCTAAGCCAAGACAAAGGAAAATTAGATTCTTGGTTCTTGTTCCTGCCACTCCCCATCTTTATTTTCCTTCAAAAACAAGAAACCGGACTTACAGTTCTCTGCCATTTCCGGACATTTTAAAACCACCGAAGGGAGCTTGTGCAAAGAAGGAGTTGTAGCAATTGATCCTGTGAAAACCAAGACAGATTAGTAATTAATACACTCTACTGTATGGGAAGAGCTTACACTCTACGCTGAGCCTTGCTGTGCTTAACTACGTTTCGTTGAAGGAACCATACCGTATTCTCGATGAAATAAATGACCGCTTTCTAGCTCAGTAATCCTTGAATCTGCTCTGATTTTCAAAACTTCAGAATTTGTTCCTGCAAAGCATCGGCTCTTGTCCTTCCTGATTCGTTGCTATATCCCAAGAACATTGGAAGTTTCCTAATGCTGGGTCTAACAATTGGTTGTTGAGCAGCATGCAGCTTTTAAGGGATTCAGTTCAATGTCTTTCCAACTCCTCTCTAGGATTATCAAACAAAGAAGATGCTCTAGTCTTAAACCGTAGCTCCAACGTACTTAGACACAGCCAAACAAGTCACACTATGACTTAGCATGATGCATTAACCCAATGTACAACACTCTATTCCTTTCTAGGTAGCTTCATGCATCAACTAGTCCAACGAAAAACACCTTAATGTACTCTAAGATCAGAAGGAGGAGAGGACACAGACTTACAGAAATAGTCCTCGACTTACAACAGTTCACTTAGTGACCGTTCAAAGTTACCATGGCACTGAAAAAAGGAACTTATGACCGTTTTTCAGGGTTACAACCTTTGCAGCCTTCCCCCCACGTGGTCACGTGATCAAAGTCCAGATGCTGGGCATCTGGCTCATACTTATGACCATCGCTGTGTCCCTTTTGCGACCTTCTGACAAGCAAAGTCAATGGGTTAGCTGGTTTCACTTAACCACCGGGTTAGTAACTTATCAACTTGCAGTGATTCACTTAACAGCGGGGGCAAGAAAGGTCGTTAAAATGGGGCAAAACTCGCTTAGCAAATGTCTTGCTTAACACCAGAAATTCTGGGCTCCATGGTGGTCGTTAAGTCGCGTACTTTGTCTACGATGCCTGCAAACTGAAGATTGAAGTGCAATGACTTAACGAAGCCATTTTCTGCTGGAAAGAAAAAAACTAGCCTCTCACCAAACGGTGCCAGACTGTAGTGCCGATGCTAACGACAAGGCTCTATCCAGGTTCTTTGTAAACACCGCCGCTGTGAGTCCGTATTCTGTGTTATTGGCCCTCTGTATGACTTCTTCTAGGCTTTTAAACTTGGTTATGGGCTGCACAGGTCCAAAAATCTGTGGACATCAAAACCACAGGCATCAGAAGGTGAATAAATTGAGCTACCTGCCTCTTACACAAGGTTATGATTATTGAGCAAACACATGGTGTAGCGTCCCCATCTGGTGTCCTTCAGAATTGGGTATGTCTAGTTTAACAAAGAGAAGGATGAGGGGGGACATGATAGCAGTGTTCCAGTATCTCAGGGGCTGCCACAAAGAAGAGGGAGTCAAGCTATTCTCCAAGGCGCCTGAAGGCAGGATGAGAAGCAATAGATGGAAACTAACCAAGGAGAGAAGCAACCTAGAACTAAGGAGAAACTTCCTGACAGTTGGAACAATTAACCAATGGAACAACCTGCCTCCAGAAGTTGTGAATGCTCTCACACTGGAAGTTTTTAAGAAGAGACTGGACAGCCATCTGTCCGAAATGGTGTAGGGTTTCCTGCCTGAGCAGGGGGTTGAACTCAATGACCTCCAAGGTCCCTTCCAACTTTATTATTAGTATTATTATTAGTTGTGTTGTCATGTCAGGACAAAATTCTGTGAACTGAAGTCCCAAAACATTTTGGACAGCACCAGGTGAGGAATACCTAATCCATGCACCTCTTTATTATTATCTTTTTTAAGGGTGAATAGACACGATTATGAATGAAAAGATTCTTTGTTCACCACCCCAAATAGATGTCGACAGTCACTCTGTGTCACTGTGTGCGAGTTGGGTGGCTACATAAATTTGATTCAAAAATCAACCAATCCGTACCTCCTCTTTGGCAATTCGCATATTGTCTGTGACTTCTGAAAAAATGGTGGGTTTGATGAACAGGCCACAGTCGCCCATCGCTAAACCACCACATTCCAGCTTGGCGCCTTCTTTCTTCCCGCTTTCGATCAGATCCAAGATCTTGTCAAACTGCTGCTGATCAATCTGTCAAAATAAAAATGCACGTCACACACCGCTCATAGAAGAACTAGAAACAGATGCTAATAATGTGCCACACAGATCAACGTGGGGCTTATTTCTCATCCATGCTTTAAGAGTCTTCCTCGTGGAAAACATAACGCATCTAATGTTTAATAATATTTAAGAGAGCCAGTTTGATCCAGTGGCTAAAGCACCAGGCTAGAAACTGAGAGGCTGTGAATTCTAGTCCCGCCTTAGCCAAAAAAGCCAACTTTAGGGACCAATCACCAGGAGACGGTGAGTTCTAGTCCCACCTTAGCCCTGAAAGACAGCTGGATGACTCTGAGGACCAATCACCAGGAGATGGTGAGTTCTAGTCCCGCTTTAGCCATGAAAGATGGTTGTTCCTGGCCAGTTCCCTTCTCTCAGCCCAACTCACCTCACAGAGTGATTGTTGTGAGGAAAATAGGAGAAAGAAGATATGTTGGATATGTTCACCACCCTGACTTGTTTGTAAAAAAAATATTAAAAGCGGGATACAAATAAAGTAAAAAAAAATATTTGTTTCAGTCCAGTCCAGACACAATTACTCTTCCAGAATCTATTTCTTCCTTGGATTGTTTGAAAACTTTAATAAAAGCAATGGAGTCTTCCACACACTGCTGGTAATAGTGTAATTACAACTTTGGGGAAATATTTTCCTTGGGAGATATTTGCTAATGAAAAGGAAAGAGTTTCTTTTTTTTCAGGGGAGCTGAAAACGACAACAGATTTATTACAGAATACAATCTGGTATAGAAATTCACTAAAGAGCAGAGTAGACACCAAATGGACGTACGTGTGTGTGTGTGTGTGTGTGTGTGTTAATGACTTGATTTTTCCTTGGTCAAGGAACTCATGGAAGTTTTTTTTTTAAATAAAATAAAAAATAAACTACATCAGATGAAGTAGAAATGAAGAAATGGTGCGACAGCGACACCATATGTGACAACAAAGATGCTGTCTCCTAGTCTGTAAATCATGTTCATGCTTTTTATTATGGAGTTTTATTATGGAATTATGCTGATGTTTGTTTCTTTTTATAGTCTATTTTATTGTACACCACTCAGAATCACATTTTACGATGGCTGGCTATATAAATGGGATGAATAAATAAATGGGACAAACAAGAGCTTTCAAGGCAGACCTTTTCACAGGCAGAGCTGGGGTTATAAAGAAGAAAAAGCAACGTACAAGTCTGTATCTCAGCAGGTACATCTGCTGAGCTGCACTGGCTGCCTGTGGTCTTCCGAGTGCGCTTCAAGGTGCTGATTATCACCTTTAAAGCGCGCCATGGCATCGGACCTGGTTACCTCCGAGACCGCCTTCTGCCACAGATTGCCTCCCACCGGCCGATACGCTCCCACAGAGAGGGCCTCCTCAGGGTGCCGCCAACCAGACAGTGTTGGTTGGCGACCCCCAGGGGGAGAGCCTTCTCTGTCGGAGCGCCCACCCTCTGGAACGAGCTGCCCCCAGAGATCCGGGTGATTCCGGATCTCCCCTCCTTCCACCGCACCCTCAAGACTTGGCTGTTTCAGCGGGCAGGACTGGCCTAGGGGGTATTTTAATTGGTTTTAACAAAATTTTAATAGAGCGGCCAATTCAAATATTTATTTTTAATTATTTTAGATTTGTATTTGGTATTTATGTGGGATTGTTTTAAACTGGCTGTAAGCCGCCCTGAGTCCTCCGGGAGAAGGGCGGGGTATAAATGAAATAAATAAATAAATAAATAAATAAATAAATAAATAAATAAATAAATAAATAAATAAATAAATAAATAAATAAATAAATAAATAAATAAATAAATAAATATCCCCTCCAGTTAAGAAGTGCTGCTTTATACCACATTATAAGCACGCTGGATATTTTAACAAACGGCACCAACGGCCTGGGACAAAGTAGACAGTTCTTCAAAGGCAATATAATACCTGCGGTCCCTGCTCAGTTTGGAAATCAAACGGGTCTCCCACGAGTCGCTTCTTTGCATATTCCACGCTGCGTTTGACAAATTCCGGATAGATCTGCTCCTCTACAAAAACCCGCGAAGCTGCTGTGCAGCATTGGCCTTGGTTGAAAAAGACACCCTGGTGGGCACAGTCCACAGCTAAGTCCACTGGAAAGAGGTCAGAGAGAAAGAGGTAAAAACATGAGCACAGAAAACTGTGATATACTAAGACCCCTTCCCTGCTTGAGCGTGAGGCAGACTAGAAGACCTCCAAGGTTCTGTCCTATTCTATTCTAATTCCTATTCTATTCTATTCTATTCTATTCTATTCTATTCTATTCTATTCTATTCTATTCTATTCTATTCCCTTATTATATTTTATTCCATTCTATTCTATTCTATTCTATTCTATTCTATTCTATTCTATTCTATTCTATTCTATTCTATTCTATTCTATTCTATTCTATTCTATTCTATTCCATATTTTCTTTTTTCTATTCTATTCTATTCTATTCTATTCTATTCTATTCCAAATTCTACTCTACTCTACTCTACTCCACTCCACTCCACTCCACTCCACTCTCCATATTCTCTACTCTACTCTATTCCACTCTATTCCATTCCATTCCATATTTTCTGTTCTATTCTATTCTGAATTCTATTCTTTCTATTCCATTCCATTCCATTCCATTCATTTTCTACTCTACTCTACTCTACTCTACTCTCTACTCTACTCTACGCTACTCTACTCTACTCTACTCTCTACTCTACTCTACTCTACTCTACTCTACTCTACTTCACTCCACTCCATATTTTCTGTTCTATTCTATTCTGAATTCTGTTCTATTCTGAATTCTATTCTTTTCTATTCTATTCCATATATATATATTGCACCCTGGAATTTGAACAATCATGACTTCCCCCCTCTTTTTCATCTATCCACACTATTAACCCACCCGAACAGTACAGCTTCATAGTTTCTACACGCTGTCTTGAAAGGAAGGAACGAACATACTGAAGGGGTAGCAGAAATTTCCAAATTGGACCCCACTCACAGTCAGCATCTGCACAAACAATGCAAGGATTCTTCCCACCCAGCTCAAGAGTCACCCGCTTGAGATTGCTTTTCGAAGCGGCTTCTTTGATCAGCTTTCCAACCTATGCAAAAAAAAAAGGGGGGGGGAGAGAATGTGAGATTCCTAGCTTCTGCCCCACAAGAAGGAGAAAACCCTGTTCTGAATATTTTGTTCAGTCAGAGAAAGAGCTGACTAGGAGTTTGCTAAGATTGTTTTCCAAGAGCAACTGAAATCCCCCAGTTCCGTGGAGAAAAGATTTTCTGCGTATCGGAGGGTGCGTGGTTTTGTGTGCTGCCTGCATCCCATGGATGGGGCTTTGCTTGTTTGTGCGGCCCGGTTGCTGGGATGCTGCGGCCCGGTACCGGTCCACAGACCGGGGGTTGGGGACCCCTGTACTAGACTATTAACCCCACCATTGGTTTGTCGGCCAGATCTTGGAAATTTGCTTGCCCTCTAATAATTGCTTTGAGAAACCTTCACAATCAACACCCCAGAAAAAGGGGAAAAGCTCTTTTGCAACAATCAAGGATTCAGGGCTCCGCCATTAGATGGTGCTGCTCCATGCCGAGATTCCCAACTGAAAGGCATTGGCCAGGCCTTTGGTGCTGACAGCAATTCCTCATAATTACAGGCGGGCATCTCAAGCGTGCAAGAAAAACCATAACAGATGGAAACTGACAGGCGGCTGGCAAGGATATTAAATCCTCAGTGCCAAATACCGTAAGTGGAGAGTGGATGAGATTTCTGGAGAGGGCATTTGAGAGTCCACCCTTCTCAGAGCCCTGGCTAACCCGGATAAAACCCAGAGCCACACATGTCAGCTTATCTCCAGGTGGATTCAGTTAAGCAGAAACTTGACGAGTGAATAACCTCTTTTTTGCATCAAAGGCCAAACATTTTGGAGAGATGATTTCCATAAAGGGGGGAAAAAACGGACCAAACGGGCTCTCTTGATGCAAAACATCCGTAAGGTAGAATGTCTGTTGATGTACAGCAGAACCATGTGGTTTTCTGATTTCCTACTCTTTTAACAGCAACAGATTTATTTCATCTTCACCATTTTTCTACAATACTTAAACACAAAAAGGTGAGAATTCTCTATTGTAACCATCTGTTACAGAGTACCTGGAAATACTTGCAAATATGCCTGGGAATCTTTTGTGGCTCTCTTGGAAAATGAAGTGTTTTGTAGATTAACTTTTTTCTTTTTTTAAAAAAGAAAAGAAAATGGCCATGTAATGGATTGTGAAGGAGAAAAAGACACACAAAACCACAAATATTTCCATCACCTACCTCTGTTGAGCCTGTGAAAGCTATTTTGTCCACCTTGGGGTGCATAGAGAGAGCGGCCCCTGCCGTTGGTCCATATCCTGGGACGATGTTCAGGACACCTGGAGGAAATCCTGCCTGAAAAGGAATAACATGTTTTGAGTTGCAATAAGGGGGGGGGACAAAATGAACTGTTAAGAAAGGGGCAGAAGCAAAGTAGATGTGGCAACAGAGTTATTTGCTAAAACTACTATAGCATTTTTGAAATTCTGTACTTAGTTATCTGGAACTCAAGATTATCCTTCAACTCAAAAGGATTTGGGAGGGTCCTTTGCGCTCTCCGAGATTGGTGGTTTTCTTGCAGACATTTCATTACCAAACTAGGTAACATCATCAGGGTTAGAACGGGATAGGATTTGCTCTTATTTTATATACTGGTGGCTTGCCCTATCAGTGTTGGTGGGACTGTTCTTAGTGGTTTCTTGATTAGGCTGTTTACTGTTAGCTTGTTTGTGTGTTGGTAGTTCCTTGATTGGTGTATTGTAGAATAGAATAGAATAGAATAGAATAGAATAGAATAGAATAGAATAGAATAGAATAGAATAGAATAGAATAGAATAGAATAGAATATGGGATGGAATGGAATGGAATGAAATAATAGAATAGAATAGAATAGAATAGAATAGAATAGAATAGAATAGAATCTGGAAGGGACCTTGGAGGTCTTCTAGTCCAGCCCCCTGCTCAAGCAGGAGAACCTATACCATATCTCAGACAAAATTTCAGAAAAATGGATGTCTGTGAATCTGTAATGGTGTGTGGGGAATGATCTTGATAGACAAAGAGCTGCAGATTGATCAACCATTATGCAATAGGTATCTTGGCCCACAGAAGGAAAAGGGGCATGGGAAGCATCTCAGAAGACACGCCCCCTAGTTTCCTAGAAAGTAAAAGTACAGAAAAGGAGAAGGGCTTTCAAACTTGCAAGATTCTGTTAATGTAATCTTACAGTGAAAGATGGCGTTGCTACTACTCATGGTTTGTGCTTCTCGTCTGGACGACCTCAAAAGGTTGATATTCGTTTTGCTAGTCTCAAAGCCTTCCTTCCTTTCCTTTTACCTTCCAGAAAACTAGGGGGGGGGGGGTCTCTTCTCTAAACCACCAGCTCTAAATCCTTGATTTGTTCATGGAACTTACCTCCTTGACTAAAGAGCCCAGGTGGAGTGAGGTGAGGGGTGTCTGCTCGGCAGGTTTCACAACTAAGGTGTTGCCACAACACAAAGCTGGGGCCATCTTCCAGATCAGCATCAGCAAAGGAAAATTCCACTGAAAGAAGAAGAAGATTTTATTTGGCCAAGTGTGGTGAAACGCACAAGGAAATTGGTCTCCCATACAGAAACAAAACAACAGTGATCCAGAGAGGGTAAGAAGGACATCCCTATCATCCTTTCTAGTTCCCTTTTGGATGCTCTTCCTAGAGAGCTGGAGAACCACAGTATGGCTGCTCCTTGATGCAGCCAAATCCATCAATTAAATAACCACCCTAAACTCCCTTTTTATGAACCTGTAATCCCTTAATTCGGGATAGAGTCAGAACGACTGGATGGAGCTGAGCATTTACTGACCGGATGCCCTTCCTGACGTCTATGTAGAGTTCACAGCAGCTATTTTTTCTTTTTGCCCCAGGAGAAAACCATCTGCTGCAACCTTCCAAATTTGGGAGATCTTCACCTCTGTGCCACCACGCGGCTAAATTAAATAACCACCATAACCGATAGTATTTGCTATTTAAGTTAAATATTCTACAGTTTAAGTTCCATGCTTCTTATGACAGGCTTGTCTATGGTTGTTATAGAATGTAGAATTTATACATTTTCCTTTGAAGAACAGGAGCTACACGTTCTAACAGGAGCACATCCTTTTTATCATGCTGTGATACTTTATCCCATCTCTAAGTGTCACTGTAGGGCTGCGTACACTGATTTTTAGCTTTAATTAGAGGAGAAACAACTAAACTTCGGCTGGTAGACCCTTTTTAAAAAAGTTCCCTTTTAAAAAGATTTTTTAAAAAAAACAGGGAAGAGTTACTGTTGAAAGCTTTGTCAAGGTTAAGCAGAGATAAAGGTGACTTCCTGGACATAGATGTGTGGTTTTCTTGATAGCAATAGAAAAATCTCTGTAATTACCTTTTTTAAAAAAAAACTTGGTCTCCCACTCAAGTACTAAGCAGATCCAATCCAGCTTTCTTTTTGAAAATCAGCTAAAGTCAGCTATGTGCTGGCACGTGTACACAGAAAGAAAACTATGAGAAGCCAAAAGGGTCTAAAAATAAGATCAGTCCCGCGTGTGTTGGCCAAGTAATTTCCAAACAGCCGTGATTGAAGTTGTGCTTTGCTAAAATGCAGTCAGTCCAGAGACATTTGTGCAAGTTACTTGCAAGACCCTATTTCCCCAATGACCACTCTGATCATGCCCAGAGAAACAGTTGACTGCCCCTTTTTTCTGGGGAGATAGAGAAATGTAGCCTTATTTTCCAATGATCGGGCAAGTTTGGGAATTCCCTCTCACTGGAGGTATGTCTGCCTCCAACATTATCTACTTCCTAGGTAGAAAAGTCATAAAATGGGGCAAAATTCGCTTAACAGATTCTCACAATTAGAAATTTGGAAATTTTGGGCTCAGAATTGTGGTCGTAAATCAAGGACTACCTGTATTTGCTTGCTGAGAAGATCCACCCCAAGTATTCCTTATATTTCTACTTAGAAGGAGGACATGTAGCCCACTGAGTAAAGTATGCACAATGTGAATGATGCTGGACATTTTGTGTGTTTGTGTATGTGTCTGGGTGTGTGTCCTTTTGAGTCAGTCAGTCCTCGCTGTTTTCTTGGCAAACTTTTAGAAGTGATTTGCCATTGCCTTCTTCCTAGGACTGAGAGAGAGTGACTGGCCCAAGGTCACCCAGCTGATTTTGTGCCTAAGGCAAGACTAGAACTCACAATTTCCTGGTTTTGGTGCAGTGGCTAAGCCTGGTGCCTTAACCAGCGCACCAGATTAGCTCTCTGGAAACCATACAGCAACTCTCATCCTAAATCTAATTAAGAAACATCTCATATAGAAAAAAAAAAGGGGGGGGGGTCCCACAATTCCTGTTAGAACATAGTAAATTGTTCTGAATGAACTGGATTGTCCATAACATCTTCTAAACTTTTCCTCTTGGTGGAACCTCTTTTGCCTGGATAAAATGGGCCAGTTTTTATTTTCCTGGAGACATCAGATGTCGTATCTAGTCAAGTTTATATGTGATACTGGCTAAATCTCAGCAGTGGTAAGGAAATATCCCAGAGTGGTGTTTTATTCTGACAGCTGTGTAAACATTCTCAGCCTAGTTACAAATCATCTTCTGCCAACAAAAATACCTGCTGTAGATTAAGGAGAGGTAATTGCTAGCGGCAATCTTCCCCTGCAGGGTAATCAACAGAACGGGCCATGATACGCTGGGATTAACCATTATGTAAAATAAACTAGAGTGGAGCACCGCAACCACTCCAACATTCCTCCTGTGGCGTATTTAACTGGGAGTTTTCATAATGCAGAAGGGATAACTAAGTCCCTCTGAGCGCTGGACTTTTTTTTTTTATAATTTCCATCCGATCTGGAACTTTCCCCCACAAAGGAAGAGGAGGACTCCAACTATGCTGAGTCTATTGCAATCCCAAAATATGGGTAATTTGTGGGGAGGGTCTGTTTAAATTACTCTAAATACAGGCTGGCTGGAATGCCATGAAGCTTAACTCAAGGTACTTTGGGACAACCATGACCTGGATGACTGAGCATCTCCATGGACATTTTGCGATGTATCTTGCTTTTTTTTCCCCTCTTAGCATAGTGGGTGAACCTAGACACTGAGATTTGTGAACTAGGGTGGATAGCACACACGGACAATGCACAGCTACGAGGTGGCCCTCCAACAGAGTTTTTGCACCCCCGGGATCAGATCTTCTAAAGCAGGCTGAATGAAGATGATGCTCTCAGCCTTCAGAAATGTAACATGGCTGGAAACCGGTCACTATGATTTATTCACTAAAGCAGAATAAAACAAGCTATGACGTTACGGGTTGCTGGATAAATACCCAGGGCACAAAGACCAGTTCTAGACTCCCTACTGCCTTCAGATAGCAATCCGTAGCCCTCAGTTTACAACTGCCATTGGAACTGAAATTTAGATCATAAACCATGATCGTTGTAAGTCGAGACACCCATGTGACCGGACCCAATTTTTTGACCATGTTTACAGCGGGAGTTTAGCAAATCACACCTTCATAAGCCAAATCCATTCTCACAAATGGACATATTTTTTTTGTTTTTGCCCAAAACTAGTGAAACATACCAGAATGCATTTTTTAAAAAAAATTGCTGGTGTCACATGACCGTGGGACACTGCAACCAGTCTTAAATGTGACAAGGGTCTGTGTGCAGTTGAGACCCTTTAGGATGGCCAGATGACATTTTACAGGCTATAAAGTGCCTTTTCTGAGGCTGTTGCAACTCCGAATGCCCTGTTAAAATTTGGGCAGTCACTGGGTAACGCTTAGCAGCTCAATCTTAGAGATGCCAAATTCTTGGGGGAAGCCAGGCATTCTAGAAGTGGTCTTCAAAACTCAAGTTCCCCTGAAATCATGCTCAACTCTCGGTGGGTTCGTGAACACCTCTGATTTTTAACGACTCTAGAATCCTTTCCTTGACCTTAATTATCCCACGGAAAGGGGAAAGAAGGGGATTTTAGAGACTATCCGCATAATAATTTTTCTCTCCATCCTCAGGACCCCTCCCCACACAGAAATTAGAATCCAAAACGTCTTACTCACTGGTGTTATAGCTCCACAGACTCCCACAGGCTCATGCCTGGTGAAACAGACGTAGTTTTCATCTGCAAAAGGTTTGAGAACATGATATGTTATCAAGCAAGGATGATTTTGATATGAATCATACTAGGGGATGGAGACAAACAGGGTGGCTGGAAAACTTTTCCTAAGGGCTCAGCAGAAACAAACATGAGAGTTTGCCAACTATAACTGACTTGCCTATTTAGAGTACGTTCTCACGCGGTAACAAGAGATGGCAAAACTTTTTTTAAAAAAAATAAATAAGAGGAAACTCCAACAGAAGTTGACTATCAAGTCTTAAGAATCACGCAGCTTGGAATATTTTGCCTCTGACTTTCCACACATACTTTTCCTGGCAAGCTCTTTACTCATATAGGAACAGTGGAAGAAAAACCCATTTATTTTAAACTGTTAAAATGTCCGTGTGAACCAATGACTTCTAGTGACTAATTCTTTCCCTCTTCAATGATAAAAGAAATGAATTGTAACTTGCATTTAGCCAATAATTATTAGGTATGGTTCTTTTCCTCATTAAAATAAATGAGGACTGAAATACATCACTTTAGTAAAAACAATTGAATCACAAAATGATGTTATGTCAGATATTCGTGAGTACACGTGACATATATCTAATCCATGTTGAAATTATATAGCAACTATATAATTACCAATAAAGGAAAATATTTATAGCTCAGGGTTGAAATGAGGTACCCTTGATGCTCTCTGAGCTTGGTGGTTTTCTTGCAGATGTTTCGCTACCAAACTAGGTAACATCATCAGTGCTAGCGCTTTATAACTTATATGTCAACTATATTCTTAAACAAAGCACCCATGGAAACAGAGGATTTTTAATGTTTTGTTTGCTTACAAAGAGAAAGCTTATCACATCGTGCTTAATTTTGTTTCCAAAATCTTGACATCAAGGAAACATGGGTTGAACTGACCGACAATCTCATCACTTTTTGAACTTCAGCCCAGTTCTATGGAATGTTAATTACCTATTTAAACTTAAATATACTGGTTGTTCTGATTTGGGGAAAAAAGCTAAATAAAACTCATCTCAAGTTGCACTTGTTAGTAAAGGCCACCAAGCGGGATGGCTTTAGAAAGAGATCAAATTAAAGGAGAATAAGGCTATGAATAGCTATTTGTTGTAATGCCAGAATATTAAGGTAGCACTATGGTTCCAGTCTCAGGGCAAAATGCCCTTAGCATTTGTCTAAACTCCTGTAATCAGAATATAGAATAATAGAGTTGGAAGGGATCTTGGAGGTCTTCTAGTCCAACCATCTGCCTGAGTAGGAGACCCTAGGCCAGACATGTCAAATTCGCAACGTCACGTGACGTTGCTCGCAACGTATCGGGACGGTTTTGCCATTGCCGGCAATGGGGTGGGCGCGGCTTCATTCGGGACAAATGGCTGTCCAATCTCTTCTTAAAAACCTCCAGTGATGGATCACCCACAACTTCTGGAAGGAAGCCATTCAGAAATAAGTTTGGATTGGGTTTGTTTTTTAATTCTCCGAAAGCAGAGAAGCATAAATATGACTGCACTTTGACTCTTTGCCAACAAAGTCTGCAAAGAGCCATCATCTGACTTTCAACAAAAAAATATTTAACTCCTCCTAAAGCAGGGTTTCTACAAACTAGACCATGAAGCAAGTGGAGGAGGAGGAGGAGGAGGAGGAGGAGGAGGAGGGTGGCACATATAAACTCAGATATATTCCTGGTAGCCAAAATCTAATTAACCATAGCATCTGAATAAGACTTTCATGACTTCTCTCCAGTTTGTAGATTCAGGTTAATTTTACTCAGCAGAATAAGATAAGAAACTCAGCAGGTGCCACTTACCCACAGGAATATTCTTCCCTTGGATTTTATCGGCCCACCCAGCATAGTATCTCAGGGTTTTTATGCAACCTTCAAGGTCAACAAAGAAAGCCTGGAGGAATGGTTTCCCTGTGTCCAAGGTTTCCAGGGTCTGAAAGCAAAAAAGAAACAAGAACATTGTATTTGAACTTGACACGTAGAGCCAATCTCTACTGGGAAGGTATTTTCCCAACCAAATCTTTAGTGGAAACAGAGGAGGGCAAGAATCAGTTGGTCAACCAAGTAGGCTGGAGGGATCCTATCTGCAAATCCTTTCCTGTACTCTCAAAGTCTTCCTGGAGGGACAATCCATCCCAGCTGTATTGGTTTTGCTCAACAGTCCTGAATGAGAAACCTGGGAGATTACGGTTGCTCAAGGTGCTGGAGCTCCCCATGAAGAAGAAAATATATGTGGCTCAGGATTGAACTACGGAATCCTTGGTGCTCTCTGAGTTTGGGTATTTGCTGGCAGACATTTTATAGAAATCAACCATATTTACACACCATTCAAAGGAGACAGCGAAAAGCTAAGAAGGAAGGTCCAAAAAGGTCCAAAACACATCCCCTGCAGCAGCCAACACCAAGATAAGCAGGGGTTAACACCAGATAAACAACCAAGCAGAAAACAAAACAAAAAGAACCTAGTTAAGGAACTACCAAGGAGAAAACCACAGTCCCACTAGACGGGCAAGGTAAACTACTATATATATAAACAGGGAGTAAACCCCACACTCGTATTAGTGAGGTTATGAAGTCAGTCAGGTGAATGAATGAATCATCTGCAAACAACCAAGCTGGAGAGCACCAAGGACTCCCCATGTTTTCTGTTCATCGGTTTCCTGCATATTGTTCTTCAACCCGGAAGATGAACTATATGGCAAGAACAAGGATCTTCTGTAGATTTTACTGGCTGCCTCTTCTTTATGGCAAGAAGGGTAAAGCCAGATTCTACTCCTACCTTTATCAATTCAACATTCTTCTTCATGCTAAATTTTGTTCTCTGAACTGCCCGACGGAAGCCAAGAAGTTCAATCGTCCAGCCTCCGTTTAATTTCCTTCTCTTTCTAAACGGCACCACAGATGGGTTGGTCAATAAGGGAGGAAAAAGCACTGGGCTCAGTGAGATACCCCAACCCTTCTTGTCTGATTCTTCATGCCTGCTCATGCACCAGCTTCACTCACTGCCAACACCGCCCTGTCTCGCTCAATCAGGTCCGCCAGCTTATTCAGAAGCCTTCCGCGGCTCGCAGCGTCTACTTGTCTCCACAGGGATCCACTTTGGAAAGCTGTTTTTGCTGCCTGCACTGCTTTATCAATATCGGGCTACATGTAAAAGTAAGAGAGAAGAGAGGAAAACATTGAATGGTTAATACCACTGAGAACTCAAATATAAACGGGCATAATTTTTCCTGGAGGGAGAAACCCTAGAAGAAAGATCAAGTTTGCTCAACAGTCAACAATCCCAAGATATGATTGTATTTCTATTCCTTCTTTGGGAACAGAATATGGTTTCTGGGGTCAATGGTACAAGAGAGTAGCATTAACAATTCGCAAATAAATACTTGTTTAAAAGAAAGTCCAGATACATTATCCCAGGCAGTTTGTAGAAATTTGATTAGAAAGAATGGGGTCGCCATTTGCAACCCCCTCCCAGTTGGCTTTTCAACAAGCAAATGGGGAAAGTTGAATTTGCTTAACAACCAATGATTTGCTTAACAACTGTTAAGCTTAGAGCTTTCTGCAAGTTAGCCCAGTAGGGCTCAGGGTTAGATGCTACCTTAGCTGCTACAATCTGTTCAAACTACGGTTTTAAAATGCTTAAAATCTGGCAATTGTGCACATTTTGCACTAGATTGTTAGATTGAATGCCAGCCCTGTAAATTCAACACTATGATGTGATACTAGACTTTCTCAAATCTGATGGACTCCAGAGAAACTGGAACACCCTTTCAATCTAGCCATGCCCTGGTACAGCAATAGCACTTAGACTTACATACCGCTTCGTAGAGCTTTACAGCCTTCTATAAGCAGTTTACAGAGTCAGCCTATTGACCCCAACAATCTGGGTCCTCATTTTACTGACCTCGGAACGATGGAAGGCCGAGTCAACCTTGAGCCGGTGAGACTTGAACTGCCAAATTGCTGGCAGCTGGCAGACAGAAGAAGTAGCCTGCAGTACTGCATTCTAATCACTGCGCCACCACGACTCATATTATATAGAATATATTAGGAGTATATAAGAGCCTTCCTGTGAACCATGAGGAGATAGCTCCCTTCTCTGACAACAAAGACACTTGTAGCTGTTGTTTATGTAGAGATGGCCCTTGTTTAACAACCACTTGTTCAGCAACCACTTGAACATGTGATGATAAGTGGTAATTGCAAGTGGTCCTCAAAGTTCCAGAAGTCACATCATTGTGATAGGGATATCTGGTACCTGATTATGATGTCACAGCATCCCACAGTCATGTGAATGCAGTTTGTGATGTCTCTGCCTGCTTCCCACAAGCAATGGGGAACATGGTAGGAAATCAAAAGTTGCCATCACATGAGATTCTTGCTTCATGATGGCAGCTGGAGACTGCTGGAACTGCTGTCCTTATGCGTTGCAGTCGTGTGATATCATGCTTTCTAACTGCATTTCTTAGCAGGGGAAATTCAAGTCCCAATTATCATCCTTAAGCAAGGACTACTATCTGTTATAGCCTGCCGCACTGCATTCTAACCACTGCACCATCACGGCTTTTACTATATTATATTTTACTTTGCTATATAACTATATTAGGAAAGGGATATGAAATCAGCCTTCACAACTCTCCAAAAGCTATCTTAACACTTCCTCTATGTGATCTGAGATATGCACATTTATTTACGCAAGTGGAAAATACTTGGCTGTAGCTTTTCCAATGGAAAGGTCAATCCAGGCGCACGCAAACTCTTTCAGTTACAAGAATATTGAGAACAAGGAAATTCAATGGGCAAGGCTGAAATTCCAATCTGAATCCACCCAATGCTTAATCAGTGTTGCGTTACAGAGATTTTGTAATAAACAGGCCTAAAGGGCAGCTAAAATTTAAGGTCAGGAAGAAAGAAGAATTAAATCCATTACAACTGTAATCCATCAGAAGGCAAAGAATCATATATATGTTTAAGATCGGGGAAAATATCTTTCAGAGGATGTTTTCAAATAAACCCAGGCTCCAGGTTGGGAAATCTAGGACCAAAATGTTGCAAAGCTCAAAAGAGAACAAATCAATTTATGGCTCCAGGTTTGTAATAACGCTTCCATTTTATGCTGTACATAGAGGTCGAAGAAAAGGGAAACTGTCTCATCCATCCTTCTGAGGTTGGTAAAATGAGGACCCAGATTGTTGGGGGCAACATGCTGACTCTGTAAACTGCATAGAGAGGGCTGTAAAGCACTGTGAAGTGGTATATAAGTCTAAGTACTGTTGCTCACTGGAGAAGAGCCTAATGCTGGGAAAGATGGAGGGCAAGAGAAGAAGGGGACGACAGAGAAGGAGGTGGCTGGATGGAGTCACTGAAGCAGTAGGCATTACCTTAAGTGGACTTCAGAAGATGGTAGAGGACAGGAAGGCCTGGAGGAACGTTGTCCATGGGGTCGCGATGGGTCGGACACGACTTCGCAACTAACAACAACAACACTATTGCTATTGTCTGTCCTCCCTCCCTCCCTCCCTCCCTCCCTCCCTTCCTTCCTTCCTTCCTTCCTTCCTTCCTTCCTTCCTTCCTTCCTTTCCTTCCTTCCAAGTGGTTAGAATGCAGTATCGCAGGCTGACTCTGCCCACCGAGAGGGCTGTAAAGCATTATGAAGCGGCATATAAGGGTAAGTGCTATTGCTATCTTAGTCCAGCAACTTTAACCACTACACCAAGCTGGCTCTCTCTAACTGTAGTTTTCTCAATTCTTCTCCATTAGAGAATAAAAGGAATAGGTGACATCACATGACTCTTGTTCTTCTATACCAAGTCACGGCTGAATCACACACCGCTTCATGACATTCGGCTAAAGGTTTGCTTATGGATTAGGATCAGCACATACCAGGATATTCTTCTGTCTTCCATAATGACCCTTGCAATAAATGATGCATATCCAAACCCTCCCTTCTGATGTTATTTATTTTTTTTTTGGCCACAGTTGTGTGTTCCAGTTTAATGTTACTGCACCTCTTATGGATAGGGACATTTTAAAGTTATAAAACCAGTTTCGTAACATTTTTCCCCACTGCCGAGACAAGGGGAGAGATCTTCGAACAGGAAACTCACCTTTCTCCCCTGTTTCCTTTGAGGGCAAGAGAAGTTGGCCAACCTTTGACTCTATTTTAAAACCTTGGGGATCTTGGAGGTCTTCTAGTCCAACCCCCTGTTCAAGCCGGAGACTCTGTATTATTTCAGACAAGTGACTGTCCTGTCTCTTCTTAAAAACCTCCAGTGATGGGGCACCCACAACTTCTGAAGGCACGCTGTTCCACTGGTTAATTGTACTCGCTGTTAGGAAGTTTCTCCTTCATTCTAGGTTGCTTCCCTCCTTGATTACTTTTCATACATTGTTTCTTGTCTTGCCTTCTGGTGCTTTGGAAAATAAGTTGACCCCCCTCCTCTTTGTGGCAGCCCCTCAAATACTAGACTACTGCTATCACTATCCCTCCTAGTCCTTCTTTTCTCTAGACTTGCCATACTCAATTCCTGCAACCAATCATCTCTTTCTACTCTAATGACGGCTTGAGAAGCAATGGAGCCAGAGAGTATAATCACCCATAGAGGAGAAAGCCACCCCAGAGCTGCACAGCTCAAAAAATGAGCTGACGTCTCTTCAATTACAGGATTATGGCTTTTCATAATTGCATGGCAAGCCCTGGATTGAAATGCACAAAGTTAAAGTGACCAAAGATGAAGGAAGAGAGGACTGCACAACTTCAGACTTGGATGGGGGAACAGAAACAAGAGGTAGATATGAGTAGCACGTCTGTTTGTTTTTAAATACACATTTGTAGTGGCTGGATAACAAGCCATAGTGTGATCGGTTTGATTTAGGTTAGTAAATGCCTTAACACAGCCATGAGTTAAGAGAGTTCTCGATTTACAATCCTTGTTAAGCAACCACAGCAGTCTGGTGACCTATGACCAATCCTCGCACTTATGACTATCACAGCTATGTAACAGTCATAGGGACAATCTGCCTTTACTTACCTGGTGTACAAGAGCAAAAAGGCAGTGTCAGCTGCCACCTTTTGCTTGTGCGTTGCTACTATTTGGTGACAAAACGCCATGAATTCTGGGGAGGTGGGAAAAGTAATGGGGAAGACATGGGGGAAAATGAAAGTAAGTGCTGTATCTCCTCCAGATGCTGCTTCAAGGTCACCCAGCCTTGTTTATGAGATTCTTAGATTCTATTGGGCCACCATGTAAGATAGAATTGTGGCTAGATGGACCTAGATCCGACCCATTAGGGTTATTCTCATGTTCTCACACCACACAGGAGTAATCCTTGTTTCTCCTAATCTCTTTCTTGCTCTCTGGCTTGATTTGATGTTGTGGTCATTTGGAAGCATATCTGAAAACACTTTGTCTCCATCCTTCAAAAGGTGAATTTATTCTTTCAATTGAACAACAGCAGAACAGGTATAAACCAACATGTCCCTTCCAGCTGATTAGAGCAACTAAATGAAAGTCACTTTCCTGCATTTTTTTTCCTACCAAAACATCTCCAACTTTTTGCTCTTTGACTCAAGACAAATGACAGATTGTTTAATTAAAGAACGTAGAAAGACAGACCTTGTCACCTTCTTCAATTTCACAGATCTTCTCAGCCGTCGAGGGATTAAATGTAGGAAATTTCTTTCCACTTTTCGATTCATGCCATTCATTGTTAATAAATATCTAAAGAGAGAGAAAACAAGTGGATCAGAAGAAGCATTGACAAGACTACTGTATCCCTGGTTTGGCCTGTCTTCTTTGTTTCCAGAATAGCTCTAATATTTATCATATTCAGGACAGTGGTGGGATTCAGCCATTTCGCACCGGTTCAGGAGGCCAATTCACGAATGCAATTCCATAGCCATGAGAGAAGGAGTGTCAAATTCCAAGGGATTAATCTATTATTTTTCTGAGATGGATCTCCCTGTTCAGTTAATGTAATATGGATTTGCCCCCTTCCATTGGCTCAGTGATTAAGGCACTGGACTACTCATACAAGTGGGGGGGGGGGCAGTGGTTCAGCGGTTTAGGATGCCGAGCTCGTCAGCTAAAAAGCTGACAGCCTGGGTTTGAGACCCAAGCGCTGCGTGATGGAGTGAGCTCCCGTCCTCATCCCAGCTCCTGCCAAACTAGCAGTTCGAAAGCATGCAAATGCAAGTAGATAAATAGGTACCACTCCGTGACATCATGCTGGCCTCATGAGTGTGGAAATGTCTTTGGACAGCGCTGGCTCGATGGCCTTGATACAGAGATGAGCACCACCGGTATAGTTAGCAACGACTAGCGCAGGAGTCTGCAACCTTGACAACTTTTAAGACTTGTGGACTTCAGCTTCCAGAATTCCTCAACTAGCATAGCTGGCTGAGGAATTCTGGGAGCTGAAGACTTCAAGTCTTAAAGTTGTCAAGGTTGGAGATCCCTGGACTAGCGGATTAAAATCCACAGGGACTCCTGTACCTTTTTTACCCTTCCATTAGTGATGCCTCCTTACAATAAAATGGGAAAATAGGAAAAAAAAAGAAGCTAAATAAGACAATGGAGACATTAAACAGAGCAAAGAAGGGGCCTAAAAAGGAAAGAAAGAATAATGCCATTTTGTCTACCTAAAAACCAAAGAACTAATTCTCTCTTCCTAGAGATAGAAGTTCACAAGTACAGTAGCTACACTAAATGGCCCGTCCCGTAGTCTACACCAGCCCTTTCTCTGCAAGTGGGACACACAACAGGATCTCATACGAATGTAGCCCCCAAGCAGATTCACATAGACGTAAATTCCCCAGGAAAAGAAGTTTTTTCTTTCAGCTACTGATGTCTAACTTCAGATGCTGAACTTGCATCGGCTCAAAAATCTTTCGTTGCAGGTAAAAACAAGAGAGGTTCCCAGGATTTTGAATGTTATTTCTCTTAGTTGCAACTGAGCCTGCTAATTAGTTTTAACTTGTTTTTGTGGCCCAGTAGTAGATTTAATTACTATTATTATTGCATTTGATTTGCATGTTCTGTAGCTGAAATGGCTGTTTTGTCTGGAAATTTAAAGGGTCTGTAAATCACTGGAGGGGGGGGAAACATTTGTTTTAACGGGTGGTCTTATAATTTAAAGAAAACTTACATAAACATGCCTGGCGAATTACAGGTTGCAAATACAGGTAATCTTTACAATCACTTGTAGCAATTTTACAACCGTTTGTTTAGCCACTGCGGTAGTCCTCAATTTAATGGCCACAACTGAGCCCAAAATTTCTGTTGCTGGGGGAAACAGTTGTTAAGTGAATTTTGCCCCATTTTTTACAACTTTTCTTGATGTAGTTGTTAAGTGAATCACTGCAGTGCTTTGATATTTCAAACTAAGCCATCATTAAAATATTTACATAAAGGTAGATGTGTTTAAAATGGTAAGTGTTAGCTGTAATGATAACTGCCTGCTTTGCTTGTCTCCTGGTTACTTGAAGGATCTTATTTCTCTATAGGAGTCGATCTGACCGATTTGAACGTGCAAAGAGAAGAGCTAGCTATTCGTTTTCTGTAAATCCAGAGCACGAAAATTCAGGAGTGTTACTTTTCTGTAGCAGAACTAGATCTTTGAAATGGCTTCCATTTTCTTACAGAAAAAGTTGAAGACAGAACTAAGCCAGAGGCTGTTTTGTTAAGATGACTCTTAACTGTGGCCAAAGGGGTATTTTAGGTCCTTAGTGATATTATGTGCTGGTATTGTACTCCAAGAATTAGATTGTGGAAAGATATAAATTTGACAAACAAACTTTCCAAGCTCTTAAATCAGTCACACCTTAAGCATACTGTATATTCTGAAATATATATATATTAAAAAACCAGTGATATCTGATATCTTCAATTAAGGGTATTCGGGTCAGAGAGGAAAACCCCGTTTGTTAAAAGTTATTTGGACTAAAGTGCAACTAAAAAGAACGAAATTTCTATTAAAGGCAGCATCTTTAAGTTATATTAAGCAGAGTGCCATCTGCCCCCCCACCAAAAAAAGGAAAGTTGCTAGGAGACTATTTCAAAATTCAGCAACATAACTGCAGAACTGCAAATGGTAAAAAGAAAAAAAAATACTTATTCTGACCAGTTTGAAAATAAACGACACGGCGATGGCAATCAGGGATTTATGCAAATTGATTTATATAATAACTTGTATGAGCTTTTGGTGGCATCAAGTTCAAAGAATTTTCTTTCATTTTAGCAAAACATGTAATGTTTGTGATTCCTCATTACATTCAAGAATGGGGACAGGAAAATTTTTTCTAATGGATGGTGTTAGTGTTTCTTTTTTAAAATCTGCTTACTTTTCTACAAGAGCTTGCTCCAATAGAGTCCAGACAACTATCAATAATGATTAAAACAATTTAAGTCGACGGAAAGTATTACCTATAATAGGAAAGAAAAACAACTAGAAAGATTGTATTAAGAAGAACGTCACCAACTAGCGACTTTTTTTTCCTTTTAAAGACGATCTGGAAAATTTTCAGAGATTTAAAGCAGAGAATGTGCTTAGCATTGCTAGAATTTGCTTAGATTTTTATAGGCAGAGTGCCAATGTTATCCGTGTTTAAATAGAAAAGCAATTACATTCTGTTTGATGTGACGATATCCACAATGGAGGGTATCTGTATCTTATAAAGACTTATCATTAAAGAAAATTTAAAAGATCTGCTTAAAGATTTGCTTTTGACCTCACATCAGTTTAAATGTGTATAAATGTAAAACAGATTCTGACTTGCAACAGTCCGAACTACAGCACCTTCAGACTGCTCCAAAATATTTTTAATTGATTATGTGCCATCAAATTAATTTTAACTCCTAACAAATCATAGAATTTTTCTCCATGATGATTAAGAAGGAAATGATGTCACAAAATCATTGGTTTCCTACTCTGCAGTCTTCCCATTCATAAACCAGTTTCTGTTTTGTCAAGAGTCAAGGTTTATTTGAGTTTTATCCCAGCTTTTGTTCCTATACAAGTAACTCAAGGTCATCAAACATAAGCATAATACTCTTTCTTCTGATTTTTCTACTTCCAGCTAGGAATAGTTCTAACTAATTAATTCTAAGTTCATTTAGTGGCAGGGATAGTCAGGTCAAGTCAATGTTTATTACAGTTAAAGTCCAGAGCAAGTTAAGAACACTTGACTATCCAGTTAAAATTCTGGAATAAAATAATAAATAAAATATGTATCAAAATCACAATTTGGCATCCAAAATCTGTCTGTTGCACACAAACAAAACACAGCATGGCCTCACTGCAATATACTGTAATATCAATCCTTAAACTGCAAGGCCCATAGTCATTAAATACTAAAATGCAAGAGAGTGTTAATACAAAATGGTTTGCTGCATTAATTCTGTAAAATAGCTATGATGGATTAATCACCTGTTTCTGATGGATCCCCAGTGCTCTCTCTCCAACTCTCCCTTTGGATCAGATAAGCGTCTTTCCTCGTTATTACCAGATTAATAAACACATGTGCATGTGTGTGTGTTTGGGTGCATGTGTGTGCTGCATGTATGTTTGTGTACGTGTGTTTGTGTGTGCAAAGAGAGATGCTATATCTGCCTTATTTTCAATTCCTACTGTATTTTATTCATTCATTCATTCATTCAATTTCTGTAGCCGCCCTTCTCAGCCAAGTGATTCTGGATGGCTTACAATTCTAAAATATAAAACAGTTCAAACCATTTCAAAATAAATAGACTTTTAAAGATTCTAGTAAAAGTCAAGTAACACATGGGGTTTTTTTTTCCAGATGCCAACGTGAGAATCACAAGCGCTAGTGAATTGTTAACATTATTACACTAAGCATTCTTAATCAAGCCGTCTCATGCTGACAATCAGCAAAAGCAATTCAGGAACTGGAAACCACATAAAAACAGCCTCGGAGCTAGCCAAATCTGATAAAAGTTAATCTCAAAATGACTTTTTCTTTCTATTTTGGAATGTGGCAGGCAAATTTTAGCCTGAGAAAAATCAGTTTCTCTGTCTCACGCTAAGAATCTCTGCAACTGCAACAAGCAATGTTAAACTATAATTCGAGTGAATGTGTTTTTATTAACATTTATTAACATCGCCATTGCTTCCCAAGCCTGCAAGACAGAAGGCATCCAGTGGATGAGAAGTTTACCATTACTTGGTTGATGGAAAGTGAAGAATTATGGATAACGGGTTTTTGTTACGAAAGGCCATGTTTATTGTTTTTAATTCTACATTTCTTATATAATTATTAATGTACATCCCTGGGGTCCAAGGAGTGACGTGACAAAATGTGAACCACAATGCTGCAATGCAAATAACAAAAGGATACGTAGAATTATGACTTCACAACTCTTATTCGTTATATTGGCTTTTTTGTAGTTAAGAACAGACACCTATGCTAGGGAGATCTAAAACCGAAAAGGCTTTTTTATATCGCAGCTTTCTTGCTATAATGGTTAAGGGGAATCCTAGTTTAAAAGATGCAAATGCAAAGCTTTAAGAATTCCATCTTTTGATGTATTTTTTATCATTTCTAAGCGTGCATATACGTTTGATAATTGAGATTTTGATTTATATAGTTTGCATTGTATCATATTAGTCTTTTTTTTAAAAAAAATGTAAGTAATTGATAGTCTAAAATAGTACAAATAAACCAACCAGTTAGATTTCACAGTCAAACCTAAAAGGCCTTAAGCACATTTTAAAAAGAAAGGAAGAATGTAAGAATCTGCTACACGAAACAGAGAGAAAATTCCTTATACAAATGTGATTTTTCTATTATGTATTATATTCCAGTTGGGCCACTGACTGAACTCTTAATTGGTTTCTTGCATACTTTTACTTTGCTAGTTTCTCTGTTTGCTTATTCATCGATTTATGTAGCCATCTTGCCAATTGCAACTCTTACGAGATCTTACGAGATGGGTGGCTGTGTAAATACAATCAATCCATTCATAATTAGTCTAGCTTCATTTTCATTCTCCTATTTTACTTCAGATTTCGTACTTAATTCAAATGCAGCAGAAAAACGATGCCTTTTCTTGCATCATTTCTCAAAGAGAAAGAAGAAGAATCACCAATCACCTCATCTTTTGAACATTAGAGTTGGCTCTCAAACGCATCCCTGACTTTCTACCTTCTCCGCCCCCGCAAAGAATAGTAATAGTAATAATAATAATGAAATTAGAAAGATTGAAACCAGCCAAAGGAAGTGGAGCAACGCCAACTAATCCACTTTTAAAAATTGTCCAAGTTTTAGAAGAGACGTGGGAGAAAAAGCGAATCTAAAATCCTTGACCAATGCGTTGTTTTGTTAAAACAGCCAGGATGGTGGAATACCTCAGAAATGGTAAACATCCATCACGGGCTGGTTGTCAGCAGTCTTAAGACATTTTTTTTAAAAAAAAGCACGGACAACATTGTACATATGACAAAAACAGCGCAATCCAGCCATTCTCGAAGTACTGTGATAGGAATATTGGGTGAAAGAAAAGTTTGCAGGATGAGCTCCTGTAAAGTCCAAAAGCTCTGAAAGCCAAACTCTGATCCGCTGACTGACCCAGATTAGATCCTGCAACATTATTCTGGGACATGTACATTTGCCTTCATTCGTGTGATCAATCCATCAATTTATTATTACAGCCATAGGCCAACACGTAAATTAAACATTCAGATAAAACTAAACTAAACAGAACCGAACAGAAGAAGACAGAGTAATATATTACAATTAATGACGTAATTAATGGATGACCAAGGTCTGCCTAGTTTTATAGACAGTATAACAAAACCTAGCTACCTTCAGAAAAACTGAATCATACTGACCTGACAACAAAACTACACTGAGTATATAGTCTAAGGCTGGATAAAAACACGTCATAAAATTAATTATAAAAGATTATTAAAAAGACCAAAAATATTTATTTATGTTTCTGGCGAATCCCCAATGCTGCTGCACAGACGTTCGTGTGATTGGAATAAACCATTTCCCCCCAACACAATGGTCTTCAGGATGCAATCTCCAAAAAAAGCTATTCAGAATAATTGCAATCAGCGTTCTCACCAAAGATTCCTCATTTCTAGCATTTTATTATTCTTTTTCGCTTTCTTTTCTCACGCGCGCAGATGTACTGGAGATTGATAAATTCATTTTGGGCTATCCAAGTCAGGTCATATCCCTGTAATTCTGGAGAAGTCCCTCCCCACCTTGCCTCCAGTTGAAATGTCTTTGCAGTTGCTCTTTGGAGTTATGTGAAACAAGCCCCTTTATGCTCAGCCCCGACATTGCTACACCACCACGGATAACTGGAAGCCTAGTGAAAATGCTCACCTCTTTCACAGCCTCTTAATATGCGAGAACTACCTGGATCATACAAATGCTGCACTTTGCGTGTTCTGGAAGCATGCAAAAAAGCACGCCCCACCGCCCTTCCATAAGACCCGAAAACCTGGCCCACCAATTGGCCTGGGGTCTAAGTGGTGTTCCATCATTGGAGGGGGCTGCTAGATTGGTGGTAGACTCTACCTGCCCCCCTCTTGCTCTCCACCCATCTTTTTGGTTATCATATTGATGTACTTATTCTCATTTTCCTGCCTGAGCATGGGGTTGGACTAGATGACCTCCAAGGTCCCTTCCAACTTTACTACTACTACTACTACTACTACTATTACTACTACTACTACTACTATTATTATTATTATTATTATTATTATTATTATTATTATTATTATTATTATTGTGTTCCTTTGTCATTGTTTGCTTATATGGTTCTACAGTTCTACTTCTGTTTACAACTCTTTCAGTTTTTCTTCCTTTTTATTACTGTTAGCCATCTAAGACGGGGTCCCTAAACTGTCCCACTCCCAGGCTGTGGCCTGCTGGCCACCGGGCCTCAGGACAGGCTAACCAGTGTGTGCACATATGTATGCGCACTCACACCACTCATGCTAGTGTTGTGGCAAAAATGGGGCACCGTGCGGCAAAAATGGGGAAGGACTAGTGAGTGTCATGCAGGTACTAGCGCTGCCCCATTTGCATCGTGCGGACACTAGTGCCACCCCGTTTGTGTCGTGCATGTGCTTGCGGCCCCGTTTGCACACACTTGCATAAAATGCTTCCCCCTCTCTTTCCCTCCGGTCCGCCAACCGAGAAAGGTTGGAGACCTCTGATCTAAGAGTAGCCCCATGGTGAGATAAGTGGAAAATAAATTTAACAAATAACAACCTTTGATGTCCTACAGAAGCATCTAGAAAAGAGCAGCAAAACACTGATGCTACTCAGCTTTCTAGAAACGGATATCTAGAAGAGAACCTGCAAAGCTCAGTGGACAGGTGCTTTCAACTCTTGACCACATCCTGGGAAATCTTCACCCCCAAGGCCAAGGGCACCCAAAGAAACAGCTCTAGATTTCCCTTTCCTTAGTGGCTTCATCAGGGCTGCAAAACTTTGTGCCGCAAGAAATCTAGGAAGCCTCTTTTGGCACGGCCCCAAACCCAAGAAAGTTCAGAATTAACTCCTCTTTAAAAAAAATCAAACCTTCTATAATATTGCAAGCCCTTTTATATCTTGTGCAGAAAATGTTGGGGTTTCCTCTCCTCTCCTCCACTGAGGATGCAGCATGGAGGGGGGGGGAGAGAAAGTGGAGACTCCCAAACATATTACATAAAAAAGTAATTTAATAGTAAAATGTTTAGCTTGCATCACGTTTCATGTCCGGGAAGTGGCTTATTTCTCTGGGTATGAAATTAAATCTTCAAAAAGCACGACGTAAACCTTTTTCATATAATATGTTTGGGAACCTCCACCTTCCCCCCCCCCCACATCCTCGGTGGAATAAATGCAAGGAAATCCCAAATTCTCTCCCCCCCCCCCCAATGGCTTCTGACATTCTCTATTAACCAGTTAGTATCTTTGCCTTGAATAAAAGTTAGACAGGGCTTAGCTAGTTGCGATGCCTTGAGAATAATTACCCTCAATTCTTCTCCCCAAAAGGCAGCTGAAACAAATGAATCAATTCCCTCTCTCACTTTCCCTTTAGAAACCTTTATTAGATTTATTTTTTAAAAAAAAATCCCACCTTTATTACTTTATATAAGTAACTCAAGGCAACAAACATACCGTAATGCTCCTTCCTCCTCTCATTTTCCCAACAATAAAACCACCTTGTGAGGGGGTGGGTTGGGCTGAGAAAGAGTGACTGGCCCAAAGTCACCCAGCTGGCTTCCTTTGCCTAAGGCAGGACTAGAACTCAGAGCCCCCTGGTTTTTAGCGCGGTGCCTTAACCAAACTGGCTTTTCAAACGCTTGGAAAGCGTTTGTTGAAAAAGATACTAACTAACTAAACTACTATTAATGGAGCCCGAAACGCTCCATTAATAAAAAAAGTTTTCCTTAAAGAACAGTAAAGCAACACAACGCTAAAAGAAAAGGAAAAAAAACCCACACGTGCGCAAGTCGTGCAGCGCGCTTCACCTGCTTACTGAATTAACCGGTTCTCTGCCTTCGCCCCCACTCGTGGCAGCCTTCGTGAGCGGGTGGGTCAGCCCGCGAACCCCTGGAATCGACGCCTTCGAGCCGGCTACCCAGATGCGGCTGTCCAGGTGGAGCGAGTCCCGGGAACCTCGTTCCCACGCCCTCCTACCTTGGTGAACTGGACCTCCAGGTTCCTTATCGGGTGCGGCAGGGGCACCGAAGCCTTCTTCTCCGCCTGCCCGTTCTCCAGGGCTCCGTTAAGCGCTGCCATCCCCTTTACACAACACCCTCCGAGCCGGTCCGGATGCGTTTGCCCCGTTGCGCCCCGCAAGACGCACCGCCGAGCAAAGGAACAGAAGCGCCCCGCCGCGCTCTGCCTTTAAGAGCGCTGCGCTCCGGGCGGAGGGGGGGGGCGGGCTAGAGGCTGGCCAGCTGCTCTCCACGCCCACCCGAGTCCGGGGCCGCGCTGGACCAGCTGCAGGTGAGCGGAGGATGGATGGCGAGCCAGCAGCCTGCTCCGGCGGCTGTTCGGAAGAGGCGCGAGCAAGCGCGCAGGCATGGCCAGGGGGTCCCTCGGTTACTCCAAGCGGAGCAGCTGTCCCGTTGATCCCAGCTGCGATTCCCTGGACGACACACACACACACACACACCCTCTTCCACTTCCTTCCCTTCCCCAAACAATGCTGGTGATTGTGCCAAAAGCTGGCTTGGGGGTGGCCAAGAAGGGATGGGAACGAGTTAAGGTCTCTCCCCTTCTTTCTTTCTCTCCGTTGCAACGCGGGGGGAGCCTGAGACGCGCAGACGTCCAAGGGAAAGAGAGAGAGAAAAAAAAAAAGAGGAGAGAGAAACCTCGGAGGAGACCATCTGTGTTACAACGCGGCGTTCTTCTGTCCGGGTGGAAAGAGAGAGGCGAGGCGGACTCCTCGCGAGGAGGAATGAGCTCACATCAGATTAACTCCTAATCAAAAACGGCCCTGGAAGGTCCAGTCCTCTCCTTCTCCTCCCTCCTGGAACATAAACATGCGTGCACACGGAGACATCACTGCACAAATATTTTCTGGGGAGAGGGCTGATGGACGGAGGAAGGAAGGAGAGCTGGCTGTTGTACATCTTCTGTGGGTGCACGTGTGTCCAACCTTGGCAACTTTAAGACTTGTAGACTCCCCAGCTCCTAGAATTCCACTGCAGCCTGACTGGCTGGGGAATTCTGGGAGTTGAAGTCCAGAAGTCTTAAAGTTGCCAAAGTTGGGCACCCTTGCTGGAGGGCCCCGACTTTCTTGGGGGTTTTTTTTCTTTGAAAACATTTTGCTTTTTGTCAAGCATCCGAATGTAAATCCCATGACCCTGGGGATGCGGCAGCGGTCATAAGTGTGGAAAAACGGTCCTAAGTCATTTCTTTCAGTGCCATTGTAACTGCGAACGGTCACTAAATGAACCGTTGTAAGTGGACGACTGCTTGTGCTTGGTTCATCCAGTGTGTAAATGTACTAGGGGTAATGGCTCACACTTTGTCATGGGAACCAAGCCAGATCTGATTTATTCAATAAGCCATAGTTGTAGATGAAATTCCTCAGCGTGTCTGGGGTTTGGAAGCTGAGTAGGGTCGTGCCTGATTCGTATTTGGATGGGAGATTAAAATCCATGGGCTAGACTGGAAAGTTAAAAAAAAAAGCTACCCGGGAGAAGTTAATGAGAGACCCTACTCTTGGGGGGGTCTGCTGAGGGGGAATCGGGTGGTATGGAATGATAAGACATGCATCATGGCCTCTGATGCAACACATAAGGGGGGGGGCTATGCATCACCATGTCATCGTTCTGGCACCGTCACAGTTTGCTGTAGACACTGCAGTCTGTTCCGTTGTCAACTGAGCAGCCTGGGTCCATGTACTCAGTGGGAGTCAAGCATGATTCAAAAATCAGTCTTCTTTGGAACAAATTGTGGCTTAGCAAGAATTGTGACCCTGTAAAGATAACCTGCTTGGATTGAGGGGAAGGGAGGGGTGGAGGAAGACTGGAAGGAAAAGAGGGAGGGAGGGAGGGAGGGAGGGAGGGAGGGAGGGAGGGAGGGAGGGAGGAAAGGAAGGAAGGAAGGAAGGAAGGAAGAATAGAAGGAAAAGAGGGAGGAAAAGAGGGAGAAGAATGGAAAGAAGTGAGGGAGGGAGCATGGGTGGGAAGGTGGGAGGGAGGGAGAAGATTGGAAGGAAAAGAGGAAGGAAGAATGGAAGGAAAAGAGGAAGGGAGGAAGGAAGGAAGGAAAAGAGGGAGGGAGGAAGAATGGAAGGAAAAAGGGAGGGGGAGGGATGAAGGAAGGAAGAATGGAAGGAAAATGTCCAGCTTGCAGACAGCTGGACATTTGCCTTCTTTTGAGAGTCGCTGAGGCCACTTGGAGGTTTATCTGTGTCCTCAGGGTCACCTGAGTAGTGCAAATGGCTTCAGCAATTCTCTAAAAGAAGGCAAATGACCAGCTGTCTGCAAGGAATCTAAATCCTTCCATTCCCCACCATCCAGTCAGAGCTGAAGAAGCTTCTTGGATGAGAAGTGAAACATCTTCAAAGAAAAACAAGGAAGTCCAAATTGCCTCCTGAAAAAAACACCTTTGGGACAACCTGGATGACTGAGAATCTCCATAGATATCCAAGGGATTGATGGTCTTGTTGTTGATCTTCACAGTACCATTTGTTAAACTAAGTTGTGTCCAATGCTAGAGGGTGATGCTCATCTCTGTTTCCTAGCCAAGGGAGCCAGCATTGTCCAAAGACCCTTTTGTGGCCATGTGGCCAGCATGGCTATACGCCAAAGACACATGGAATGCTGTTAGCTTCCCACCAAAGTGGTACCTATTTATCTACTCGCATCTGCATGCTTTCAAACTGCTAGGCGAGCAGGAGCTACAGCGAGTAACAGGAGCTCACCCTGTCATGTGATACTCGGGTCTCAAACCCGGGCTGATGGCTTTCCAGCTGACAAGCTCAGTATCTTTACCCACTGAGCCATCGTGCCCCCTATTAGTTAAAGTGGCATATACTAAACAATTTTCATATCATAAATGTTTGGGGTGTCAAGGAATGATTTAGAACATCAGAAGGGTTCCATGAGCTGAAGAGTGTGGGGAACCCGCTATTGAGAGAGCGAGGAGATGCCATTTTCTTGCAGCAATTGAAAAACCGAACACGGTCAGAAGACTAAAAATGTTGTTGTTGTTAGCTGCGAAGTCGTGTCCGACCCATCGTGACCCCATGGACAACATTCCTCCAGGCCTTCCTGTCCTCTACCATCTTCTGGAGTCCCTTTAAGCTCACGCCTACTGCTTCAGTGACTCCATCCAGCCAACTGCTACTAAAAATGTAGAGCCCCTTGAATCCAAAAGGCAGAATTTGGGCTTAGCAAATGTTGGCAAGTTTTCATTGGAGATTCCCAGGATAGCAGGTTCTGTTTCAATGCATCTCCATGGGTACTGAGGAGGTGGCCATTGTCCTTCCTTCTTTCAAAAGTCCAATTAGGGGCACATGATTCATGATTAACAGTGTAAGTCTCTGCCGTGTTAAAAAAAGGCCTTTGAAGGTTGAGCGTATCTCCTGCTGACAGGATAGAGTCACATCCACGTGCTTTTCTCCGCAATCATACTGAAGTGGTTTGTACCCCCATCTTCCAGGATGTTGTTGTAACCATATGTGCTAGATTTGCACTTTTCATCCAAGTAAAACCGAAGTCCATCCTGCTCTCCCTTTTTTTATATATATATATCATATATGATTTTTTAGGGTTATAGGCTGATGCAAGACAACAGATGCTTCAGTTGTGTTCTGCTCCTGGGGTCTATATAGACCTCTCTGTGTAGTTTTTTTTTTTTTTTGACAGCCATCCAGATTTAGTGCAGGTAGTCCTCATTGAATGACTACAATTGGGACCAGTCACTCCAGTGAAATTGTCACTAAGTGAAACCACAACCATGCATATGATCTAAGTTCAGTTTTCCTTTCTGTTACAGACCTGCAAAGATTGGTCCTAAAGTTTACTTTTTCATCAATGTCATAACTGCAAATGGTTACTGTAGGAGGCAGTCACTACTGGAGGACTACCTATACTGTCTTCTTTTTTCAGCTTTGCTGTCTGGTCTATAACTTTGGCATTCCCTGGAGGATTTTGTCCAAGAACTAATCAGGGTTGATCCTGATGAGTTTCTGAGCCCTGAAAGTATAATTCTCAACCAGTTACTGGGATTTTATTTAGAAGTTAGTAAGGAACACGAGGTGGGTGTTTCCAGATGTTCTCTAACATGGCTCCAATACTTTGGAAGACTCTCCTACTGTAAAATCCAAGTAGCCCTCACCTTATTAAATTTTAGGAAATGATTGAAGAGGGCAGCTTGAGCTTTTGACAGTTGAAAGGACCATCTAGTCATGAATTTCTTGTCATTGTTTCCTTAGAACTTACATTTTGAACACCGTGATTATAACTTTGAGCTACTGTATCTAGTTAAAGCTGTGGATTCTGCCAATGCTTTGTGCAGAAATTATTGTTTGCAATCCACCAAGAGTCAACCGATTGCAGTGGACTAAAATTAAACCAATGAACAAACAAACAAACAAACAGACAGGCAAATTCTTATCTGAATCTCCTGCTGTCTTCTGCTTTGTGTGATTGTATTAACCCCGTTAATGAAGGTTTTCCTACCCTCTCTTCTCATTAACCGAGTCCATGGGCAGTTTCTGCTGATGCCTTAGAAGCAGCAACAATAACTCATTTTATACATCAAGGTATTTACTTTGTAAGACAGTTCCTTTGATATTAGCCCCTCCCTCCCCCCCCAAGAGCTGGTTTCTCCTGCCTCTTCCCACCCAGCCTGTTCCCAAGTCCAGCTTCAAGTACCTTTGGTGTTGGTAGAGGGAGTGGATTGACTTGGAGAAGATCACGGATGGGTGGCTGAAGAAAGAGAGAGGGAGGAGAAGGGGGCTGCACCTGGACCCAATGAAGTTTAATGGACATTAATACATGCAAACAACTGCTTTTGTCTGGGGACAAAGACCTTCCCAGCTTAAGGCTGATTCCCAAACACTGTTCACATTGTTTCCTCTCTGATGCTTCTTGTCACTCTTCTTGACAAAGTTTAATTAGGACAACGAGCTTGTGCAGGCTCATTTCTCACTTCAGCAACTTCCTAACACTTCCCCTAACGAGGAACAGCTCAGTGTCTTTGGAGAAAGGAGGGAGGGTGTCCACCAGACTCGCCTGGATGATGGTGCCACGAGGGTTGAGGGGGTGCGAGAGGAC